GACTGACTGACTGACTGACAGACAGGCAGACAAATTGGCGGACAGACAGGGAGGAGAGGCGAGAGACAGCTCCATGGCCCGGTGGATGCATTGACCGATAGATGCTAATACAGAAAGATAGATTGATGGATGGAGAGAGAGATAATTGGCCAAATAACAAGGTGGACAGATAAATAAGAGTGGATGGACAGGTATGACTGTAGGATGGCATAGAGGCAGGTTAATGGATAGATGGAGAGAGAGAAGGAAAGATGGAGAGGAAGATGAATAGCCTCGTAGAAAGCCTCAATCGCCATGCCTTCACCTTGCAGATTCCAATGGGCATAGCTTCTTGGTACTCCATTGCCCACTCCATCATTTGTGTTAGCTTAAACACCAAATCGCATTCCGTCCACCGAAGCGGTTTACGGTGCTATTGAAGTCATGCGAGGCTATTACTTCTTCCCTCCTTTCTCAATAGAACGTTCACCGACAAAGCTTTAATAATTAAATCCAACTGCGATCACCTTCATCCTCAGCTGTCTTTTTTGGCCTCTGGGAGATTCACTTTTACCGCTTCAGAGGGACAGTTTTGTGCTCCGATTGCACCAAAGGCTCTCCAAACGGGTCGTAGAGCCGCTCCCTTCTGCACAACTGAGCCCTTCCCCTCACCGTGCACTCATTTTTCACACAAATGCCAACCTGAAGCCCCTCTTTTCCTTCTATTTTTTATGTCTCATTAAAGCTCACCGAGTTGGAAGGCCGCCTCCCTCCTTTTATTAATGCATTCTGATTTATGGGATTTGTAAAATAAATTTATTTGTTCTACCGCAGGAAACACAATAGCAAAAGAGGTCCGACAACTTTGTGGAAACAACTTAAGTATTCTTTTTCGAGATTCGCAAACTCAATTACAGGGGAAAATTGCGTAGTGAGTATTCACCACACTCGTCATGTTGACGGTTTTCCACGAAGGGGTCTCGTTATGAAAATCTTTGGCATGTGAGTCCGGACTCCAGACTATAGGCGGTGACTACAGACCCGCCTATTCATCGGCAATGCCCTACGCGAAGTCTCGTCACGTGGCGGTCGTGGGACACAGAAAGCGGTCCTCCACCTTAGCGCTTTCACCATTGGATGGAGGTATAAAACTCATCACCTTCGTTAACCATCTGCAAAAAAAGAGCTTCAAACAACTGAAGTAACACCAACTATGACCGTAAACCTCCTTGCGGCGCCTCGGTACGGCGATTTTGACAGCGTTTAAGTGAAATTGCCTGCGTCTGCTCGAGGGAGACGCATGTCTGTTCGGTCTGGTGGCGAAAGTGTGGAATTGTGCATCCTAATAACGAGGTCATTTATTTCGACCAGCACACGTCGTGGGGCCACCTTATTCTCCCCTTCCTAAATCCACTTCCCTAGTCAACTAAACTTCCCAAATTTAGGGAATTTGCTAAAAGGGTGGGGCATCTTCTTCCCATCGGCCATGTTGCGTTGACTGACACAAGAGTTTGGCCAAGTAGATAGCTAAGCGACGAGGCTCTCGAGGGATGTGCGCCCATGCAATGCGGTTTAAATTTATTTACTTCGCTACATTGAATTAAACAGTAACTGGGGGTCTCCATCACCTTCCCTTCCCTTCCCCTGGGTGACTCTTTCTTTCACATGCATCGCGCCTCTTTCCTACCGTTCAACCTCTCCCAATCCCCTTTTGCGCCCAATTTTTCCACCTTTTTTGGCGAATAATTCAGTTCCGACGGTGTTTACATTAAGCAAGAATAATATCTGTCCTGT